AGTGTTGATTGTAGGTCAAGTAAAATGAAATACTTGACAATTTCAATCTTTTCTCTGTTTGTTGTGATGTTGTTTATTGGTCCAGCTATGAGCATTTTTGTTTTCCTGATGTTGAGGTGTAGTTCATACTAATGTCGTAGTCTGTAATCTTCATTAATAAGCGCTTCAAGTCCTCTGCACATTGAGCAAGAAAGGTTGTGTCATTCGCATTTCACAGGTTGGCAATGAATTTTCCTCCAATCCCAGTGACATGTTTTTCTTATATAGTCCAGCTTCTTGAATTGTTTGTTTTGCATAAAGATTGAATAAGAATGGTGAAAGGACACAACTGTGACACATACCTTTTCTTATTTAAAATGATGCAATATCCTTTGCTAGATTCCAGATCAAATTCTTAATCAGAAACTTTGGCTCTGAGCACAGCAGTAGGAGTACAGCACCCACCAGACACAGCTCCAGCTCCTGGGCACAAGTTGAAGGACTCTTGGTCCTTCAGGGAACAGGTACAGCATGTTCTGTCTTGTCTTGGCCTTACCTCTCCAAAACATCCAGCAGTGCTTGTTGACTGCCCAGCCTCAGTGCCTTTATCTGTTACAGGCAGGGGCCAGGTGACTTCTGCCTTATGGGGCAAATTCACTCATTCCTTTCCCCACTGTGGCCTCACTCCTTCTCCACAAAGCTAATCACACTGCCATCTACCCTTCACAGATGTACTTGGTGTCTTGTTCCTCATTTTTTCCAGTCAGAGCTATGCTCCTGAAGGAGGGCACTTTCCCTATTATTTCCTTTATCTGGCACCGACACTTCCCTGATCAGTCTTACTTCCATAATGCCTACAACATAACTTTGGACCTCTTAGGAATCCATCAAAGTGAGTTAGCTGATTTTAGTCATTTTAGAAAAGAGCATCAAATAAAAGTTTCTGGCAATTTCCATTTCATGGGAAAGATAATACCTTCTGAATATTTCGCAGCATCCTGGGTGGATCATTAATACTTGCAACAGTTATACAAGGTGGGTGGACCCACTGTTTCTCAGATGATCACATGTAGGCTGAGAGAGGTAAATTCCCATACTTAAATAGCTACTCATGTCTCTTTGTCTGAAAAGTTCATATTCTTCCAATGGCTTCAGACTGTTTCCTTTGGTCCTCACTGAATTTCATCACCATTAACTAGAGTCTTATGTCCTTATTGTTGTTGCTGTTAGGTGCTATTGAGTTGGTTCTGAATCAAGAGACCCTATGCATAACAGACCAAAATATTGCCTGGTCCTGTGCCATCCTCACAGTCATTGCTATCCTTGAGCCCATTGTTGCTGCCACTGTGTCAATCCTTCTCATTGAGGTTCTTCTCCTTTTTTTGCTGACCCTCTACTTTACCAAGCATTATATTCTTCTCCAGGGATTGGTCCCTCCAGACAACATGACCAAAATTCATGAGATAAAGTCTGGCCATTCTAGCATCTAAGGAGAATTCTGGCTGTACCTCTTCCAAGACAGATTTGTTCATTCTTCTGGCAGTCCATGGTATTTCCAATATTCTTCACCAACACCACAATTCAAATGCATCACTCTCTTAACTCTCTAATACTTGACCTCTTTAAAGTGTTAAAGAGCTTATGCCTGTAGAGACGTGAAAATGGAGCCCTCACTGAAGACTTGAGTTTCTATTCTTTCTGACTGCTGCTGCCTGTTCAGCATTCATGGGCCATTCCAGCCTCCTCCAACTGAGTAGTAGGAGTGTTTTTTTGGCCCTGGATTCTGTGGATTTTTATGTTGGGTCTGGAGATGATCCTTCTTTCATCATAAACTCAAGCAAAGGGTGGGTGGATGCCAATGTATGGCACCTTTGTCCTCCTGTGAAACTCTAAGGAGAAACAACGAAACCAGTGGAATTGTCATGCTTGGAGGCAGCCTGTGCATGAGGCATTGTGAGCCTGACAGCAGGGTGTGTGATCTAGTTCATGATGGGTCTGCTTTGCAGAATGGCTTTGGGAAACAAAGGCCTCCATGAGGTTCTTGCCTGAGACTGGACATTCATTTTCATTCCACTGTCGTTTCCTGGCTGCCTCTTCTTGAGCTTCACCTTTCTTAGGAGTCCTTTCTTTGACAAGCCTTTGAAGAGAGGGGACTATGCCAACACAGTTATAAGGGACAGAAGGCACTTGAATGAGAGTCTGCTCCCCAGCTTTGAGGAGCACAGTGGTGCACCAGTGTTGACCACTCATCCCAACCCAATGAGAAGGGGAGTCTTAGTTTCCACTCCTCTCATCTGTCCTCCTGTGTTAGGTCTTCTTTTATTGTAAATAACTATACATTAAAATTAAACTATGGAAGGTGGAAATGGGAAAATGGTTGCATACTGCAGTTACAAAGTCCAGGGTGATGCGGGTTTCAGGATCAGGTGCTGGGACAGCTTTTGTGGGATCAGCCTTCTTACTTCAGGGCCATGATTATTTCCCCTCCCCCATTTTTTAAGGCACATTCCCCATTTCTTTGGAGTTGTGCCATGGCCTCTTTTGGTGGTTATATTTGTGGGACAACTTGTCTGGGTCTGCTTGAGTGGCTGGGCAGCTGGTAGTAGTTATTCCCCATGATGAGACAGGCAATCAACTCCATGGTGGGATCTACCACAAGCAGCTGAGTAGCTGCCTTTGGGATGTGGTCTGCTTCCTGTATGTAAGGAGAAGCCGTGGGGATAGTCTCTAGCTTATGACACACTTGGACCCTGCATGTAGCCATGTCATTGTTCAGCAGCCTGCCATGCTCTGCCATTCTTGGGACTTACAATGGGCTTGAATTAATGGCCTGCTGTGTGGTTTGGTAACATCAAGACTGTGCCATTTTATTTGTTGACCTTGGGGTTGTTAGCCTCAGCAGCCAATAGCTTCCTGAGTGAAGAGATGCCTCTAGCTTCAGTGGGCTGGGAGCAAGAGGCAGAGCTGCAGCCCAAGGTCGAGGGGCTTTCACAAAGCCCATAGAGCCTGGCACTTTGAACTTGGACTTAAAGCCTACAAACTGTAAGAGAATAAACTCCTGTTTGTTCAGGCCATCCCATTTGTGGCATATTCTTGTCAGAGCAACACTAGGTAACCAGAACAGAATTTGGTACCAAGAGTGTGGGGTGCTGCTCTGACAGATACCTAAAATGTGGAAACAGGAGTGGAGTGTGTCCTTGACCTGAGACCCTGGCAAAAAGACCCCAGCATACCACATGAGAGACAGCAGGAGCAGAGTCAAGAGACCAACATGAGAGAGAGCAGGAGCAGAGCCGAGAGACCAGCATGAGAGACGGCAGTAGCAGAGCCCAGAGACTTGCATTAAACAGCAACAGGCCTACCAGCCCACGGAGGAAAACGCCAGGTACCATTTGGTAGGCGGCTTCCTGGTGGAGTGGGTCACTGTCAGGCATCAATTGGCAAAAGAGACCATCATGAGATGGAGTAGCAGGTTGGCTGAACCACAGAGAAGAAAGCTGAGTGCTTTTGGGGCAGGAATTTTTCCAGTGCAGTGGGTTGCTTTTGGCTTTAATTGGCAGAAATGGAGAGACCAAGGAAACGGGAAGCAGAGCTACCTCAGCCTTATGGGTAGGACCATGGCCTTTGGGGATGGAATCACCACAGCCCCTTAGGTTTCAAAGAGCTAGACTGTCACCAACTTCGTTCTGGAGTGTGGGGCTGCCTGTTCATGTGAGCCAGCGGGATGGAGCCATAGCTGCTGCCCAAAAGTGAGGGGGCAGGGCTGCCATGCCCAAGGGGGAGAAGAATGGGGCCTGCCAGGCCAAGGGTGTGAAGTCACCACTCAGGAACTAGGGGACTGGAGTCACTCAGTGGAGGAGACCTGCACAGATACCACCCATTGAAGATCTATACAGGTGCCAAGTTGACAAGGGGTGGAATTATGGTGGTTATGTTTGTGTGTCCACTTGGCTGGGCCTGGTTGAGTGGCTGGGCAGCTGGTTGTAGTTATTCCCCATGATGAGACTGGAAATCAACTCCATGGTGGGATCTACCACAAGCAGCTGAGTAGCTGCCTTTGGGATGTGGTCTGCTTCCTGTATGTAAGGAGAAGCCGTGGGGAATGGTCTCTAGTTTATGACACACTTGGACCCTGCATGTAGCCATGTCATTGTTCAGCAGCCTGCCATGCTCTGCCATTCTTGGGACTTACAATGGGCTTGAATTAATAGCCTGCTGTATGGTTTGGTAACATCAGGACTGTGCTATTTTATTTGTTGACCTTGGGCCTGTTAGCCTTAGCAGCCTGAGTGAGGAGATGCCTCTAGCTTCAATGGGCCAGGAGCAAGAGACAGAGCTGCAGCCCAAGGCTGAGGGGCTTTCACACAGCCCTTGGAGCCTGGCACTTTGAACTTGGACTTAAAGCCTCCAAACTCTAAGAGAATAAATTCATGTTTGTTCAGGCCATCCCATTTGTGTTATATTCTTGTCAGAGCGGCACTAGGTAACCTGATTGAGCTGGGTTCTCCTACTGGGCTAGGTTTTATCACATTTTAACTCTGAGTCAGTCAGTTTGCCAAAGGAGATGTAGTACTCTGATTGTTGGGCTGACCTCAGGAGTGAAGGGAGGTGTCAGCCTGCCTGCCTACACCACATGGAACAAGGTTTGCTTGGTTCCATGAAGCCTGTGCTGGGTCAGAACACTAGGGCCTTATCATTCCCCACTAAATGTCTTATGAAATGTCTTCCTTTTTGGAGGTGAGTGGTTTCAAAAGTCTCAGTGATATGATGACCTTGCTTTAGATTCTTGTGGGTGCTGATAATGGGAAGCTCTGCTCTAAACCTCAACAATGCAGCAGTAGATCTCTGTCACTACTAGTCTATAATGCTTAGAATAGCTTTCTCTGCAACAAGTGTTGAAGTGCCTACTCTGCCTCAAGCACTGGGTGTACAGTATTTACACTTTGCAGAATTATTCCACAACAAATTCTGCACCTTACTCTTCCCACATCTCTGATGACCATTTCTTCTCTGTGCTGTAGGGAGCTGCTGGAGACCACATGCCGCCTGGCCAATGTGCTGAAGAGTCATGAAGTTCGTCGAGGGGACCGTGTGGCCATCTATATGCCTGTGTCCCCACTGGCTGTGGCAGCGATGCTGGCCTGTGCCAGAATAGGTGCCATCCACACAGTCATCTTTGCTGGCTTCAGTGCAGAGTCTTTGGCTGGGAGGATCAATGATGGTGAGCACATAGGATGACAGGGAGGGACCTGGGAGTCCCCTCGTCCTTGTCCTTCTTCCTGAGGGTTGGAGATAGACATTAATTAAAGTCACACAGACAAATGACAAATGTTACCAGGGACAGGTGTGTGGCTGGATAAGCATGTGTTCTGTCAGCTGAGATCTGAGTGCATTGGAGTTAAATGGCAAAGGAGGGAGGGAAGAGTGCCAGGTGCAGGACCACATAGGACAGGTGGAGTGGTGGGAGTAACACAGAATTTGTGAGGGACCTGGTGGAGGTGGGCAAGGCCACAGTGTAAGAAGCAAGAAACATGAAGGTTATGATCAGGCTAGAGATGGAAGGGCTGGGTACATAGAAAACTGGAAGCCTTCCACAGAGAGTACTGATAGGGCAGACCAAGAGAGGCCTTATGGCAGGGGACAGAGTTTAGCAGTGTATCCTCAAAACTTTCTGCCCACAGGTGGTCCTGGACAGTGTGAACAGTAGGATCTCTCTTGCTTTTTCTGGTAGAGGAGGGCTGAGTGTGGGGCTGGTGGCCCATGACCACCATAAGGCCAATCTCTTATCTAAAGAGATCCCAGATGATGCACTGAGCTGGATCCTCAAGGAGGGTGCCATGTTCTGGGAGCCACTGGGCATTCTTTGTGTCTCACAGAAGACTTGCCAATGAGTGGTGAACAGAGCTGAAGGACTGCATTCTCAGGCCCCTGCTGACCACCTCTTTAGAATAGGTGGAAGCTTTTCCTCTGTGGTCTGGTATCTTCATCTCCCCCTTGCCTCCTCTTCCCCACAAGGGTTTGTGTTGCCATACCTTTTTCTCTCCAACACTTCTACAGAATCAACTATGTACTGGGCCATGGTCTAAGCACCGTGCAAAGATTGCCTCCTTTAATTTAGTTTAATTCTCATAAAATGTGTGTGGTGGTCCTCTTACTATCCCCTTGTACCTTTTACTATTATATCCTTTTCAAAGTGTACAACTCAGTGCTTGTGCGAAGGGAGCCTACACTGTCTCTACAACCCATAGAGGATACAGAAGGAGGGGAAGGAGCCATCAGGTGCCCTGAGCTGATGGCCCAGGGAAGAGATGCCCTATCTCAGAAGAGGGAGTACAGATCATAGCAAGGGATGGTCTGGGATGAGGCCTAATGTCCCCCAGGAGGACCTCATGCTCTATCTATGCATAGAGTGGCCATTGATGGAAGTTGCCGGAGACAGCTGGATCTAGACTGTGATGGCACCCCTCATCGTTCAAGGATGCCTCAAGATAACTAAGACAAACCCTGCTATCCTCTTTCCTCCTCAGTCCAACTCCAAAGGGCTCAAGCCAGGAGAGGAGGAGCTGCAGATGCCTACCAGAACTGAACAAGGCTCCCACTCAGCTCCAAGGCAGGGGAAGATACGGATCACACCCTCCTATGTGAGAAGGGATGTACTTGTAATCTGATTTGAGAAGGGAGTTTTGAGCTTAGGAAGACTGTACTGGACTTTTACTTTGATTATTACGGAAAATTTCAAACATGCAGAAGTAGAAGGGATAGCATGATGAGCCCCCTGGTGCCCAGTGACTGCTTCAACAATGATCTGAGTTTTACTCTGAGGTCAATCCGCAATCACTTCCTCTGTGAAAACTTCACTGAGAATCACTAAAAGATAAGGACTTTTTTTCACACACTAAAATATCATTATCACAAAAATCACATAAAAAAAAAAGACTTTATTTATTTATTTATTTTAGTTTTCTTATTAAATAACTTGCTGCACTTGTTATGTCTAACCTCTTTTAACCAGTATATTCTCCCTCCATTTTTCCCTTCTTAACAATATATCTGTGGAAGCGATAGGGTTATTTGTTCTATAGAGCTTCTGTAGTCTGGTTTTGTGGGGCATTCTTCTGGAGTGGTATAACAAGTTCTTCTGTCTCTGGATTTCTGCAAACTGGGGTTTAGACCTAGAGGTCATTTTTGGAGAGGCCTCCTCATGGGGAGGTTTTATACTGGCTGTGGTGTCAGTAGGAAGTATAAAGGGGTGTGCGTGTCTCTCTTTATGAGGGGAGCAGCCAGCGATGGCCCTTGCCTGACTCCACTGACACCTTAGTAATAGCACCATGGTGAAACTCAAGGTGCAATGCTCTTTCTTCCTTTACTAGCTGGAATATTTCCTTTAGATTTATTACTCTTACCAAAGCCTGGTTGTGGTGTAGTTTGTACAGGTTGGTTGATTTTATTCCTTTTATTTTACCCATTTTCCAACTAATGAGCTAGCTTCCTGGCATACTTCAAAGGTGAGTGATTAATCATTATCATCATAAACTCATTGGTTTAAAAATATTTGGTGTGTATCAATCTCTTGTAATCATTATTGTTGATGCTATACTGTCACTTCAGGCCAGTGGGAGCCTCTTCCACATGTCTCCATGTCCTTTTGATGTGACCCTAGAAGTCTGAGGATTCCCCTGATCTCTGGCTTACAAGATGATCCTGGCTCATCTTGTAGCTTTCCTGCCCTGGCCTGACTCAGCCATTTCTACAAGACATCTTGGTTCCATCTGCTGAGAAGTTGCATGTAGCAGTGCTCATTGGCACTGAAGGAACCAGGTGGTGCAAATGGTTAAGCACTTGGCTGCTAACTAAAAGCTTGGCAGTTCAAACCCACCAAGTGTACCCATGGAAGAAAGACTGGGTGATCTGCTTTGGTAAAGATCACAGGCAAGAAACCCCTATGGGGCAGTTTGTACTCTGTCACATAGGGCTGCTGTGAGTTGAAAATGATTCCATGGCACTGAACACAAAACAACAATGGAGACCCTGAACTCATTAAGCAGGTACTCCTCATTTCCTCTGCTCCCATCCTCTGGCAATATCTAATGTCCTTTTTGTCTCTATGGGTTTGCTGATTCTGGATATTTCATGTAAATATGGCTTTTTCTGCTTCTTACATGTATGTGTGTATGTGTATATATATATATAGGCTCTGGTAGCATAGTGCCTAAGGCACTTGACTGCTAACCAGAAGGCTAGTGGTT